CCAATGGATGTAGTTTCTCAAGTCTCAGACCCAACCGGTGGACAATTTAGCTTCAATGGTTTCTTGTATACCGATGGAGTTGCAGATCTAAACCCAGACGGTTTGTTCGAACTCATAACTTCAAAGACACAAGGAGGATCTGGTCAAGTTCTTTATCAGTTCCCACTTCAGTTCAAAGACTCACCGACCGGCACCGTTTCATCCTTTTCTCCACCCAAGACATTTATCTATCATAAATATATATATTTTTACATAAAAATCTTTTCTTTTTTTTTTTAAATGGGCCCCACAAAAATTTGGAGCCCCAAACCAGTGTTTCATGTGTATGGCCTCAGGGCCGAGCCTGTCTTCACCACTTTTGTCTTCGCCATCGTAGCAGTCCGTAAAACAATCGCCGGTTGTGGACTTTCCTTCGACATCTCTTCTACAAAAGGCTTGAATCATGCTCCAAACTCCACTAACCACTCTGTTTCGGTTGAGTTCCATACTGGCAAAAGCGAAAAACCGGACGGTGAAGATGTAAATTTCGTTGGTATTAATGTCAATGGCTCGGATTCGGATAGAAACCGATCAGCTGGTTATTTCGAAGATGATGGTAGTTTTGTAGATATAGCTATTGCAAATAGTGGTCCAATACAAGTATGGATTGAGTATAACAACTCAACTAAACAGCTTGATGTTACAATGCATTCTATTTATACTAGTAAGCCCAAGATTCCTCTGCTTTCTCTGTCCAAAGATCTTTCTCAGTATTTACTTGAGTATATGTACGTTGGCTTTACTTCAGTGGGAAGTCCAACTTCTTCTCACTATATTCTTGGCTGGAATTTCAACAACACTGGGAATGTTTCAGCTATAAACCTCGCTCGTCTTCCCAAAGTGCCCGATGAAGATCAAGATGGATCGTTGAGTCGCAAGATCTTGGCTATTAGTTTGAGTATCTCAGGAGTTACTCTTGTTATCGTCTTGTTTTTTGGAGTTCTCTTCTTCTTGAAGAGGAAGAAGTTCTTGGAAGTTATTGAGGATTGGGAGCTACAATTTGGTCCTCATAAATTCACTTACAAAGATCTTTTCATCGCCACTAAAGGTTTCAAGAACAGCGAGCTTCTTGGAAGAGGAGGTTTTGGAAAAGTCTTCAAAGGGATCTTACCGTTGTCTAGTATACCGATCGCGGTGAAGAAGGTTTCTCACGATTCAAAACAAGGGATGAGAGAGTTTTTGGCTGAGATTGCTACCATTGGGAGACTGAGGCATCCAGATTTGGTTCGTCTTCTCGGGTATTGCAGACGCAAAGGCGAACTCTATTTGGTCTATGACTTCATGCCCAAAGGAAGCCTTGATAAGTTTCTTTACCATCAACCAAATCAAGTTCTTGACTGGTCACAAAGATTCAAGATCATCAAAGATGTCGCCTCTGGACTTTGCTACTTGCATCAACAGTGGGTGCAGGTGATTATTCACAGGGATATTAAGCCAGCAAACATTCTTCTTGATGAAAATATGAACGCGAAGCTCGGTGATTTTGGACTTGCGAAGCTATGTGACCACGAGATTGATTCTCAAACCTCCTATGTCGCAGGTAAGTTTGTGTTTTTGTGCACATTATAATCAATCAAGATCTTTGGACTTATTGAGGGTTTTGTGTTGTTACTTTGGACGCAAGGTACATTTGGATATATATCACCGGAGCTCTCAAGAACAGGAAAATCAAGCACAAGCTCTGATGTTTTCGCATATGGAGTGTTCATGTTGGAGATAACTTGTGGAAGAAGACCAATCGAGCCACGAGGATCACCGAGCGAGAGAGTTTTGACTGATTGGGTACTGGAATGTTGGGACAGTGGAGATATACTGCAAGTCGTTGATGAGCGGTTAGGGCACAAGTATCTTGCGGAACAAGTAACTCGGGTTTTGAAACTGGGATTGCTTTGTTCGCATCCAGTGGTAGCCACTAGACCAAGCATGTCAAGCGTAATCCAATTCTTAGACGGTGTAGCCACTCTTCCTCATAACTTGCAAGACCTTGTGAATGATCGGAAAATCGATGCTTTAGGTGCAGCAACTGATCAGTCTCCGGAGGCAAGTAGTAACGTTTATTCTTCTATCATGACGGAATCGTTTGTCTCTGGTGGACGCTAATTGACAATCGTATTATGTTTGAGAAGTTGAGATTGTAGAATTAATGAAATAAGATTGTTTCTTTTAATAGTAAACAACAGAATGGATCCAACACAATTATATAAAGGACATGGCTCATGAGTCCAAACGGTTATAATCAATCCAAAAATAAAAGTGAGATTCCTCCAAGATGTGAATGATCAAAAGGACCAATTAAATCTTTGCAAACCTAACGAAAAAAGCTAGTTAAAAACTGATGCATATAGGGTTTTCCCCAAACGAAGTGGCCTTCATATCACAACCTGGCTCGAACCGTAACGTAGTTTCATCACACACATAGCTCATAACTCCTGTCGTCTTTGCCCTACAATCCGTAAGAAAAACACGCGATCCGAACTTCACTTCTCTCTTCTCTTTGATATCTTTGATAATGTTTTTTTCGATCGAACCGCCGATATCTTCTTCAGAGATAGAAGCTGAAACCCTAAGTTGCTGAGGAAAGTGGAATTTGAGATCGTTGTACCTAAATTATGTAAGACGATTCCATTCGTTATATTTGTTTTTTTGCATATTAGATGTTGGAAGATCAGAAGTCGGCCGGGTAGGTTATAAACTAGTTTAGAGTTTAGGGTCTTAGTTTTCTTTGGTTTTTCGGTTTAAACCGAAACCGAACCTATAACCTATGGACTATAAATGGTGAGGACCAATAGGTATAATCCGAACATCCGAAACCGAACCCATACCCATTTTTTTGCCCACCCCTAGTACAGAGGCTGGAATACTCTCAAAGTAAAAAATATATATATATAAAAAGCCATGAAAGATATCCTATATATGAGGCTACATAACATTGTCTTTGAATGTCCTCGGTAACACTTTGTGCAGTGAGAGAAACACCTCTATTTTCTTCTATGTCTTCTCTTTCTATTCTCCACCCTCTAAAGTGAGGTAAGGCCTTCACCAAAAAGAGATTGATGCTTAAGCGATGGCCAATCCCGAGGTCTTAATATCTCCCCTACTAACGTTTCTATTATGTGATCATGCATACACTCAATAGCCCACATAAAACTCTGAAGTTTTGTTCTTCTCGATTGGTCTTAACAAAAGTTCTACTACTACGGAGTAAAACTTTATCAATTGATACTCTTTGTTTCCATTAATAGTAACTTCTAACAATATAATTGATTGTTAATTAACATAAAAACTAACCATGGCGTATAATCTAGTGATTTGTTCTAATGTATTATTATGTATGCTGCTTGTTGATAAAAAAATAGTTTAACTCAAAAGATCTCATTTAAAACTAAAACACAACTTTGCTAAGAATAAAACCTAGTTAAGAACTAATGCATGTTCTTAAATAACTCATTTAAAATCCTTAAAAAGGTAAAACACAACTTTGGTGAAAATTGAAAACCTAAAAATAAAAACGTAGTTAAGAACTGATGCATGTAGGGTTTTTCCCAAACAAAGTGGCCTTCATATCAGAGCCTGGCTCGAACCGTAATGTGGTTTCATCACACACATAGCTCAAAACCCCTGTCGTCTTTCCCCTACAATCCTTAAGAAAAACATTCGATCCAAACTTCACTTCTCTCTTCTCTTTGATATCTTTGATAATGTTTTTCCTGATCAAGCCGCCGATATCTTCTTCAGAGATAGAAGCTGAAACCCTAAGTTGCTGAGGCGACATGTATTTGAGATTGTTGTAGCTGAATTATGTAAAGACGATTCAGTCAGTTATATATATATTTTGCTTCTTAGATTATGAATAAAAAAATTTAAATAATTTTTAACCTTTGTCTTGACGAGGTAACAAGAGCAATATTCTTGTAAAACAAGGAAGCTTGAAGGTCTCCTTGAAGACATATATATTTATCAGGAAGGGTTTTAGGGATCCTTATCAATAAATCCCAATTTGCACTGAGAAGAGTTTGTGTTATATTCAGAACCGTGAAATCCATCGAAGCTACCTCTATTTTCGGCACGGGACGTTTTGGTTCTAAATAGATAACAAAACCTAAAAAGGCTATGCGGCAAATACAGAGAACTCTTTGACAAGAGATCTAGAGTCGACTCTTGGTGTATTTCTGTTTACCATTAC